AAATATAACTTAAATCTACACCCAGACTAACGCTCATTTTTCGGTCTCGAAGTGACTTATCTTGGGCATAAATGTACAGACAAAGGCATTTTGCCAGATGACAGTAAATTTCAAACTATCTTGGATTATCCGACACTAACAAATGCAGACACTATTGGAATAAGGCTGTTTGATGAATCTTATTGAGGGTCATCTTAGCTATCGTCTGATTTACCTTTTGCCACCATGCCAAGGATGCATAGGTGATCATTGGTACTATTACGGTTTTGTACGACCATCATTTTTGGTCCCAGACCCCATGTTTTACCATACAGTCTTTGGCACGCATAAGTTGCTCTTAGAGCTTTGCCAGTTACATATGATAAGTGGTTTTTCCAAGTAAGAGCTTTATCTAGAATTACTCATAGATATTTCATTTCCTGTAATAGTGTTAAGTCAGTGTTCCCTAACTTTAGGGTCCCTAGACTTATCTTCCTTCTTCTGGTGAAGGGTACTACGTTTGACACCAATCATGAGTGATGTCAAGAGCTAGCTACATACAATCGGATATAGTGGAGTCAAATTTGCCTCTGACCATGATAACCAGATCATCTGACACTACTAAGTTCATAGAAGACTTTATTGCCCAGCTTTCCGTCCATTTCGGCCACCTCGACGAGATCGACCTTATCAATTCTGTGGATCACTCGCCAGTCCCTGACACGCATGCACGAATTTTGGCACTCAATTTGTCCCAAAATTCGGTCACTTGGCCAGGAAGCTTAACCTGGCAAGTAGTCAACATAGATTTCAGATTTTAGCACACCTGCTTCGTCCACTATCTTAAGCTGGGCTCCTTCCCATGGCTTCAAGGCTGGGATTGTCTCCTTAGACCAAGTTACAGTCTCGTCGTCCAGACAGTTATTAGTAAACCATCCGGGCTTAAGACTGTAACCAGCGAAGTGAGGCCCGACAAGTGTTGTACATCTTGTGGAGAATGCATTTCTGCACCTTACCTATTTCCTCATTGGACCAAATGCTCTCTGAGAAATTGTGCGCTAGTATACCGATCTTTTTCAAGCGAACAGTCTCTGCTAGAGTAGGTTTTGAACAGAAGTGTTCGGAAGAAGCGCTCTGTTCAGCCTGCCCTACAGATACCGTTGCCACCTCATTACTAAGACCAGGTTTGCCCCGGTGTGCGGTCTCTACTTCATTCGTCCTGCTGAAAATCGACAAAGCACGTAAAGCCTTCAACCTTTTGCGTTCAGCGCCGGATAGCTTCACTCTTGTTTGAGTCTTTTTGGTTGGACCAGACTCAAGAAGATCTTACTCCTGTTCCGAGGAAATGGACATTTCAGCCGACTCCTGGCGAAGTGGAATGTCCATCTCCTCCGGCTTGTCGGGTAGAGGACCAAATGCCCCTTCCAACAAGTCGTGGTCCATTTGTTCACTGACGATTGTACCATGTGCCCCTCGACCAGTGATGAGTTTTGATTGTGTAAAGCCATATTTTGGACATTTAAAGGTGTGCAGTCCATAGAATTGAGTGTATTTAAGTCCATACAAAAGAAGTTTTAATAAACCGTGCAGGTTGGTCACCCATGAGCGCCCCCATGAGAAGGAAAATTTGAAACCGTAGGTTTGCCAGACGTGGTACGGAGTTCGCTATTAAGCTTGACTTTACCCCGTCAAGCAAGTTCACCAGCATAGCTGTTCCACTGTAAGCTTAGGGGGTTTGTTTGGGGTAATAGGTTTGTTCATACTCCAGGCTATCAAGACCTAGCCTTGGGAACCTGGAATAAAAACAAACTGTGCCCTAAGGAGTTTTCCTTTTCCGACGCCCGACTATCGGCGACCCACAAGCAGCAAAAACGTGACCGTACTTAAGGCGGATCACTGATCTGATAGATTGCTGCACTTTTCTAAAAGGACTGACCAATTAGCAGGCGTCCATTAAAGTCCACGAGCTAGCCTCAATGACTAATCAGGAATCGTAGATACTTACTTTCAACCTGTGCGTTGCCGGCAGTTCTTAGTTTGTGCGCTGAAGCATGTCACATGAAAAATCATCATGTCGTTACTTCCATAGTGCATGCTTCAGTCCACAATAAGCCCCTACACCACGACAAGGTGACTACCTAGAAAGGGTAGTCTGTAGTAGTTACAGATAATGCAAAAACATGGGCAGTGCACATAAATAGAATAAGAAAAAAAACAAAAAATAAATAATATGTTAATAAATTTTTAAACTTAAATTTGAAAATAACATAAAATTTTCTTTTTAAATGTATTTAAATTAATAAATACAATAATAATCATTTTACACATTAATTAAATTTTTTTATACGGGTATTGTATAATAAAGTAATATATAGATAATAATAAAAATAAATATAATGAATAAATTTATGTAAGCAGATTCATTCAAAAAAAAAGGGAGGTATAGCATGTATACACTTTCTATATATATATAATTCCATAAATGCATATTAAGGTGCATATAAAATAACCTTGAATGGTTATCGTACAATGTTATGAATATGCCTATGCAGCATGTTCCCATCATTAACTTTAGCCATATCCACGCAGCCAGAATGCTGCAATATGTAACCTCACTTTAGTTTTTTTTTTTTTTTTAATATAATACTGCAACTAGTTTATTACAATGAAACTAACAAGCAATTTTAGTTTATCAAATATAAAATTGAATTTAAAGTAAAGATGCTTAAGCTAATTACCAACTAGATCGTTGGGTAGAGTTCTTTTTAATCTTCTATCTGATTGCATAGGATAAGAGAGACACATAGCCTCTGCATTTACGTGATGCCTAAGTCTGTAGGCATGAGAATTTGCAAACTTAGTGATGACGTCCGCTACATATTCAATGTCGAGGTCCCGATGCAGATCAGAGTTACGTATATACCAAGGCGCTTTAACAATACACCTCAATACCTTATTTTGAAAACGTTGAATAACCATACGGTTAGTTTTATTTGTGCAGCCCCAAATCTGTATGCCATAACTCCAAACGGGTCTAAGGATCTGTTTATATAATAAAAGTTTGTTTTCTAGTGAGAGTTGAGATTTCTTTCCCATAAGCCAATACAGTTTCTTCCATTTAATATCAAGCTCTTCTCTTTTTATTTTGACATGTTCTTTCCAACGCAATTTCACATCTAGTGTCATGCCAAGATATTTAGCAGTATTTTTGCATGGGATTACACAACCATTCAAATAAACAGGCTTATTTTGAATTTTCCGATTTGTGAAGTTAATGTGAACAGATTTAGTACTATTAAGTTTTATTCGCCATTTCTTACACCATTTACTGACTTCAGAAATCGTAGCCTGAAGTGTGTTAGTTGAATCATCAACGTCTGAACCAATACTCAGAAGAGCTGTGTCATCTGCAAAGGTAGCAGTACAAACATCCAGCGCAGAAGGGAGATCGGCTATGAATATTAAATAGAGAGTTGGGCCAAGAATACTACCTTGCGGCACCCCAGCTTTGATTGTTTTCAGCTCAGATGTAATGTCATTTTGTTTGATTCGGAAGAATCTGTCAGTCAAATAGGATTCCAAGAGATCGCAATATTGTTTAGGGAGCGTGCTTCGCAGCTTTAACATAAGACCATTGTGCCATACTTTGTCAAATGCTTTGGCTACATCAAGAAAAACAGCAGAGCAAACTTTATTTCCTTCCAAGGCTTGTTCAATTACATTGGTAATTCGGTGAATTTGATCGATTGTAGAATGTTTATTTCTAAATCCGAATTGATGGTCTGGGATCAATTTTCTGTCCTCAATAAGTTTGTTAAGACGTTTAACAATAATTTTTTCGAGCAGTTTTGATAATACTGGTAGAAGCGAAATTGCTCTATACGATGAGACCTCAGGCGCTGGCTTCCCGGGTTTGAGAATCATTATAACATCGGCTACTTTCCAAAGACTCGGAATGTACTTTAATAGAATGCACGAATTGAATAAATTAGTAAGCCTTAGAACTATGTTATTAGGAACCTTTTTTAATACTTCGGCGGTGATGAGGTCAAAACCTGGCGATTTTTTATTTTTCAGCTTTTGAATTTCCTGTTCTAGCTCTATTGGAGTAACAGGACGGATCTGAACCTCAGGTTCTAAAATCAAACGATTGTCTGTTTCGTCATAAGTTTCGTCATCTTGACCGCAGTTAGGCGTAAATGATTCCTCAAGATATTCAGCAAAAACATTTGCCTTGTCTAAGTCACTTCGGGCCCATTTACTGTTGTTAGCTCGTATAGCTGGGATGTGGCTGATGGGTCTTTTTAATTTATTTGTACATTTCCAAAGAGAGTAATCTGACGTTTTTTTATCTGAAAGCTGAGAAAGGTAATTATTAAACGAGCTATTTTTGAAAAGCTTAATTCTCCGTCGTAGCTTTTGTGTTATACGGTTTAGTGCCGCTTTATCTGTTGGAGATCGTGATTGCTGCCATTTACGACGCAGAAAACGTTTCGTCCGAAGAGTTGATACGATTTCATTAGGAAAGTTGATAGCGTGATTATGTCGTTGAATGGATGGGGTGCAACTCCATGCTGCACCTCACTTTAGTGAGGTAATAAAGTATATACATGCTCCTCTGCTGTGTTAGAGCTCGCCGGCGTACTAACACAATTATGTAGTTACTAGTTTTAAGGTAGAATAAGAATAATAATTCAATAAAGAATGGTACTTCAACCTAAGCGGTCGAGTCTTTATTTTACCTTATAAAGCATATTACAAAATTTTAACGTAAAATCTGATTCTTACAATAGTTATATAAATATTATTGTAATTAAATTTAAGAGATACTAGACTTAAGAGATTGTAAATAGATTTAAGAGATTGTATTTGTATTTGCTACTTGGTAAGCAGCAAATAAAGCTGCAGGCAAGTACGAAAAAGTTTAACAGTTTAGTAATAAATAACACGTGAAACAGAAACAGTGTGTAATTATTGCCTATAAATCTAAACGTTCGATAATAGCCTTAAAACTTAACACTATGTTGAAGACTGCTAATGGTACATCTACAGAACCTCTAATTTTATTTCTTATAATAGCTAAGGCTTGATAATGCCTTGAGCTACCACCAAAATTGTAAAACAACCTTAATGCAGTATGTGCAGTTTGACGCCAAGAATAATTAGCGTCCATTTTTACATTAAAAAATCAAAAGTCTTTAATTGTTTCTAATATATAATTGTTCAAATGATCAGAAGCTAAAAAAAGTTAACTGCAACAGAACCGTGTCACATATAATCAATTAGAACAGTCCTCCCAATTATAACTCTGGATTAATTTAATTAATATAATTAATTACAACAGTCCTCCCAATTATAACTCTGAGTTAATTTTGGCTTACGCGTGGTTTAAATAAATAAATAAATAGCATTTCACACAAAGTAATTATAATGATAAAAATAAAAAAAATGAGAATATTAGTTACATAATTTGTTGTGTAATTTATTGGACATCTAAATATGCTATTGATAAGTTGATGCGCCGCAATTACTCTGCTAATGCATTGCAATTCCTTGGCGCAATGCTAAGTCCTTGTTGTTTTGCTGCTAAGTTGTTGTGCTGTTACCTTTTTGTTGCTTTTTGTTTTTATTCATGACATGATATACTTCCTTTTGTTTAACTGCTGTTACCTTTTTGTTTCTTTTTGTTTTTATTCTCGACATGATGCACTGCTTGTTGTTTTACTGCTGTTACCTTTTTGTTTTTATCACGAACTGATTCGCTACTTATTGTTTTTAATATTATTAGATTTATTAAACTTATTAATTTTTTTTAATTCAATGTACTGCTATCAATTGATGCAGTTTTTTTTAAATGAAGTAATTCCGATAAGAACTTTATTGTCCTCTTGCAGAAAAAATAATAAGTTTTCTTAAGTAAATGTATTGTAATCATTCGATGCACAGTTTTTTTAGAATTAAGTAACACTTCTTTATTAGTTCTGATAAGAACTCTTTTTTATTTAATGAAATTTTAATTCAATGTGCTGCTATCGTTTGATGCACAGTTTTTTTTAGAATTAAGTATCACTTCTTATTATTAATTGTGATATTTTATTGTTAAAAAAATTTTAATTCAAAGTACTGCTATCGTTTAATGTACAGTTATTTTTATAAGTAACACTTCTCTATTAACTCTGAAAACAACTCTATTTTAATTAAATAAAAAATTTAATTCAATGTATTGCTATCGTTTAATGCAAATTTATTTATGAAGTGACACTCTTCTATTAGTTCTGAAAATAACTCTTTTCTTTAATGTAATATTATCTAGTCGTTAAAACGACTGTTTTGTTCACGTTGGGCGCCAATTATGTTTCCTTGTTCCCAGTCTAAGAGAGCGAATGAAGTGCTTAATACTACAATATAATTTTGATTGGCGATATTGTTCCAACCGATCACAAGTTTTATTTAATATAACTTAACTACTAAACCTTAAACTTAATATTCGAGTTTGGAACATTTCGACAAGCTCGAAATATTCGGGTTCCATAACTTGTACCACAACATTTCAACACATCTTTTATTAAAATGCACATTTAATTTCCAAAGGGAGTAATTTACTTGGGTTCATAGCACAACTCAAAACATACATGTTTGAATTTGTGATTGCTAGTACAATTGATTATTATCATAATTATTGCGAAAAAAATATGTAAGCTATTTACAATTGCTTTTAAATAACTTCATAGGGCACATGCGTCCTTCTTCACCATTGTTGGATTCAGTCCGTGATCAATTTGAAGACTATGATCAGTTAGCGAAAGATTTTACTCGCGTATTTTTAAATGATGAACCATCGTGCCTAACAAATGCTCACCTATTCGACGTTGTGTTTTTTGTTGGTCAATCAAAACAAAAAGCCCGTTTCATCGGTGTTCGAGCGATATTGGGGGTCAGAAGTCGTGTGTTTCAAGTAAGTGTATTACTGAATATATATCATTGATATCACAATAACAAAAAATTTATTTCATGTGTACGATAAATAATATACAGGAAATGCTTTATGGTATTCAGACTGGTTTCGGGTCACCACAAATTCCAGTTGCCGAAATATTTGCGAGACCAGCGCCTTCACTAGTTTCACCACAAAATCAAAAACCTAAAAGCAACAATTATCTAACTGTGCCAGATTCTGATTCAATTCGACCAAAAAGTGTACCTTCCTCTCCAATGGTGAAACGTGCTTTTTCACGCTTAGGAACGATCACTGCTGGCTGGGGTCGGTCAATACGTAACAAGAATACAAACCAACTTAACCCAGATGATAAAAAAAAATGGATTTCTTCAACGGATTGCTCTAGTAAGACATTTTAATTACTTTAATACACTTTCTGTGGGTAATTTGAAATTCATCTGCTTGCCTGCTGTGAAAAATACACCCTGAACGCATAATTATATATTTTGGATATAATATGTATTTTGTACTCCGCTTATGTTTGCGTATAATTTATATTAAACTCAAATGTTAACTTGATTTCACATCAATATATTATCATATTTTCTATTAATATTTCTTTTTTATAAATGCTCACAAAAATTTATTTATCATAAAATATAATATTAATAAATTTGATTTCACAATATTTATAATTATTCCCACTCCATATTTTTTTTTTTTGTTACTTTAATTATACGCAATATTTTTTAACTAAAATAACTCTTTACTGCATCAATAATTACTGAATTTTCTTTTCGTTTTATACTTTACAAGTGTGAAATTATATTTCCAGCCATAATTTTTATACAACATTCCAATATCCTATCGACCCTAATCTCACTGAATTCTATTTTTCGCTGGGTTTTACTTTTACTCATATATGTTACTCTTTGCTATTACATTAAAATTTAATTTTATTACTACACCAACAACTTCAGACAGGGATAGCAAAGAAAAAGACAAGGATAAACCTGGCAATAATCAACTCACGGTACCGCGGCTTTCCGTATGTGCAGATGCCCAAAAAGTCGATCGTGCGAAACTAGCTCAAACAGAGTTTAACATTATAGAATTTGATCCAGATACTTTCCGTGTATTATTGGACTATTTACATACGGGAACTTGTCCGCTAACGTGTGTCTCAATACCGGGTAAGTAAAAATAAATCTTACATCTGGTTGACAAATGATTTGACATCAGACTTTTTATAAATAGATTTTCTGCTTCATATTTACACAATATTAAGAAAACATTTTTGTTATGTTATTTTATTTAGACCTATGAAACAGTTTACATCAAATCGCAACATTGCATAACAAAGATTTTATTTAGAACGGAAACTTAAATGAGCAGGACTTGAAATAACAAAACAATCTCAAAAATTGCACAAATTCCAATTCAAAACGCATAGTTGTTTCCAACTTCATCGTCTTTAGGTCTGTATTCGTTACGAATTTCAATTTGATGAATACCGCACTCATAACAAAATTTTTATGGGCAATGAGTGCAACAGGGAGCATAATTTTGGTTATATGTTTTTATTTCCGGACAAAAAAACATGATTGTACTGCATCAAATATAAAAAAAAAGAATTACCGCTGAATTCGCGGTGAATATAAGAAAAAGTTTTGTGCATAAAGTTATCAGTGAAGATAATATTTTCCGCACATGAAAAATATATAAATGGCTAAGAAAAGTGCATAAATAATTATGTAACATACACAATTACAATCAGAACAACATTTCGCTTCCCAGTAGAAAAAGTGTTCTTCGAAGACATTGTCTTCAAGACGGTCTTTGATACCGCGTCCGTATTTTCAAGCAAATTTGCAAAACAATTGCTCAAAACATGAATGTAAATACTCTTTCTTTGCTTTCTCTCTCATTTTTAGTGTTCATAGCAACGTATTTGAATTTTGCCTCAGATGACGCTATGTTTTATAAATGAAGTTACGCAATAATTTTGAAGTGTAGTGAATAAACATTTGTGAAATAAATATTAAAAAAATCAAAATAAATAAAGAAACAAAATCATTAAACTATGAAATATTAAAAAAAATAAATTAAATCAAAACAAATTAAATAGTGACTTAGTTCCTGGAAAATATATTGATATTAATATTGAAGACAATAATTCCAGTGAAAGTTGTTTAAGAAACGAAACAAAGGATGTTGAAAATAAAAAAACACAGGATTAACAGACGTTGTGATAATGTTATTTTAGAACTCTTAAGATCAGAAGGTTTAATTGTACCAAAATCCTCTTCAACGCTTTTGAAAACATATAAAACTTCAATAATTGATGATAGCGAAATGCTATAAATTATTTTATATTAGTTATAGTTAATTTTAGATATGCTAAGTTATATTAAGTTAATTATTTAAATTAATTTTCATTATGTTTAATTTAATTTATTATTACTGTCTTAATAAAATTTATAATAATTTATGATAAAATTTATAATTTACTTCTAAAACTTTTAATTTTGAATGTAATGTAAAAAATTATTATATAAAATAAATAAAAGTACAAAATACAACAATTTCTTTCTACTTATTTAAAGAGAAAATTGAAATTTATTTAAAATTTAAAGAGCGCAATAAGAGAGTAGAAATAAAAAAAGGGTGAAAAAATTATATGAGCACTGCACTAAGAGCGCACAACTTTCTGTCGAATGCGTCCGTTATGCAAGACATGGTCTTCGAGACGGTCTTCGAGACATGTACGCAAAAATTCATTGAAGACATTTAGCTAATTTGTATGAAAGTGTCTTCGAAGCCCGTCATACATTTGGATCGATCGATCTTCATGTAAAAAGTGAAAGAATATAAAAGGGGTATAAAATCATACTAATTTAATACGTATGATTAAAATGTTATAATAAATGAATTTTCTTACACAATTTCACTTAATTTTGATCGAAATGGGCTGAGTTTCCATTCTATAAAAGATATTCTCTGTTGCATATAATCTGAAGAAAAGGTATTACAGACACTTATTTAAAAAATCAGAAAATATTAAAATGATTAAAATAATTAATTGAATAAAGACAAAATTAAAAAAAAATAATTATAAGAATTCGAATTTTTACTCATAAACTTGTTGGCTTACCAGTTAACACATAGAATATGCAATGCTAAATTTATTGCTAACTTGTATTATTTTATCACAAGTAATATGATGTTTTTAATTTAAATTGCTTTCCCATCAAAAATGCCTACGTTAAGATTATAACTTCCCTCATGCTTCTTAAAAGCAATATTATAGAAAATAAAAAGTTCTCAGATGAAGTGGGTACTCCTTCCTTGTAACACTAAAAAACCTAGTTTACATCTTATTCTGTTGCAAAATGATAATCAAATCTTACATTAACTTTTATATTTATTATAGTGAATTCTGGTAATGTATTGGTAGGATTCCCATGTAATGTATTCTCAATGAATGCTGTTGATGTATATCGGCAGGATCGTTGTGTAATGTATGTTGTCTGATCACAGAAATGGATTCAAGGATCGTCTATTCAACCAAAATTAGGAAACGATCTGACTATGTAATAATCAATATTACTGAGCTTGTAAAAAAGAAGGGATCGGTAATTCCTATTTATGGACAAATTGGAATATAGTGCGTTGTTTGCACTTTTCCGCCTCTTTAATTTTACCCATGGCTCGAATGGATTTGTTCAACTGGAAAAAAATGTATTTACTACACACAATTTGTGTATTTGTTAAAGAATTTACCAAATTGCACTGAATTCAATAAAAAAAGTAAAATAAAATTTACACGCGCTTCTATTCAATGTGCACACAAGAAGACTTCATTAAGATCAAAAAAAATAAGATTATAGCAATAAAAGTAAAAACATGTTCTTATTACATAGTGTTACACGAAATTTGTTACAATTGTTTTTCTTTGAGAACATTTTATAACATAATACCAAAAAAATGAAATACCACAAAGTTACCTTAACATCCCGGCCCCTATTGAAATACTTATTTCAATTAATTGGTAGAAGTGCCAACAACACGAACACGGAAGAAGTGTTTGCACATCAACAACACGAACACGTGCGTCAGCGCCTTTTTCACACTCACAATACGACCCATTGCCCATTTTATCAGAGGAGCGTGCTCGTCATAAATGATAACCAAGCTGCCAATTGCAGCGTTATCTTGATCATATTTCCAATGATATCGATTCTGCAAATCTGCTAAATATTCGCTCTGCTATCTCTTCCAAAAGTGTGATTTTGCTGCAGATATTCATTGCCAGCGTTGGACATTGTAACGACATTTTCCGGTCCTTTCTATAGCTGGGGTATACTCAGCGAGTATACCAGGGTTCGTTATAAGAAATTTATATAAGTAAAGAAGAACACACTTGTGTTCCGTGTTTTTAAAATAACATTTATTCGTACCTTTACAAAAGAAAATATTAGAGTTATAAGTAGTAATAAAATTAAGAGTGTGAGTGTTGAAAGCGTTGTGTTCGTCGAAATCGTTGAGCTCGTTCTAGTCGTCTACAGTGTGGAAAGCGTTGAAAAACGTTGATGTCGCTGTGATCGCTGGGAAGTGTTGATATAGTGGTGACCGTTAAAAAGTATTGAAAATGTCGGGAACGCAGAAATCAGTATTGTAACGCCTTGCAATGAAAGAAATTCCAGATAGCTAAGCTAATATCAAATGCTTAAACGTTGTACGCGTTGCAAACGTTGCGAGCGTAAAAATCGTTGAAATCGTTGAAGTATTACAATCATTAGAAGCGTTGTATGCATTGCAATCGTTGCGAGGCGTTGGAATCGTTGTGATCAGTAGTTTAAAAAACCTTGTAATAAAAAAAATTCCAAATCGCTTCAGAACTAGACCGCTTGGGAAAGAGTAATCTTGCTATCAATTCAATAACATCCTTGTCAGCTATAGCCAGACAAGGGTCCCTTCCTGAGGTTGCGCCTGATCACTTTCGCCAGCAAACGGACAGCGTTGGTGACTCGTCGTCCATTTCTCCATCAGGTATGGCCAAATGGATGACTAGTTAAATCACCCTACGCCAGCATAAGCCAAACAGAAGGTAACGCAACTGTCTAAATTGCCCTACGCCAGCATCAACCAAGCAGAAGGCAATTTAACCACCATCACTTCACTCAAACCAGTTCATCCATGCACATAGTGATCGTAAACAAAGGCCAAACGAACCAACATATGCCTGGACCAATTAGTCCGAACTCCCACTGTCGTCCCTAATAGAATTGACTTACCTTGTAATGAAAGAAATTCCAAATAGAACGATTTGGCAATTTCGCTGCCCTTTTATTTGAAATTCTTTCTATTACAAGCAAAAACAAAATTATTTTCAAGTAAACAGAGTCCCGTAAATTTGTCAAAACAAATTTCTTATTATTGTACGCATTGCAATTAAATTTAATAAAAATATCTGCATCACATAAAAAATGCGCGCACAATATTTTCTTAAATTCTTTTATGCAGACAAACAAGAGAAATAGTTACAACTAACTTTTATTCGTTTATAAATAATTTAATTTAATATGTTAAAAAAAAACGCGCTAAATGTAACTATCAATTTAATTTGTGGAGTTAAATTTTACTATAAAATTTGGGCCTTCCAAGATGTGCAATGTTTTCATTCTTTAAAAACGGCTCAGAAATACCTTGTAATGACGTGCCAATCAAAAAATGCGCAGGCGTCAGAGATTCGAAGTCATTGGGGTTTGTTGAAGTTGCTGTGAACGGTCGAGAGTTCATGATTGATTCAATCTTCATTAATGATGTTGTAAGTTATTTAAACGTGAGATGAGCGTTAAACAGTGTGCGATATAGATGGCCTTTAGCAGTTTTTACAGTAGCCTCCCATAGACTTCCAAAATGTGGGGCGCGAGGAGTAATAAGTGAAAATTCTATTCCTGAAATTGCACAGTGAGATATAATTGCATTCTTCATGGAATCTTGATGAAACTGATGTCGAAGTTCTTTTAATTTTGTTTTAGCACCCACAAAATTTGTCGCATTGTCACAATGTATTGCCCTTGGTAGACCTCGTCGTCCCACAAATCTCTTTAGCGCGGCAATGAAAGCATCACTGGTTAAATCAGTGACTGCCTCTAAATGAACTGCTTTAGTAGCAAAACAAATGAAAACCGAAATGTATGATTTATATAGTGCTTTACCACGAATTTTTAAGTATGTAAAGATAGGCCCAGCAAAATCGACGCCTGTCATTGTGAAAGGTCTACTTGGTGTAACCCTTTCCTTTGGTAAGGGTGCTATTATTTGATTGAATAATTTAACTTTATATCATGTACAATGGACACATTTCTTTATAACTGAAGTTGCTGGTGATTTACAATTTATTATCCAAAAGCGTTGTTGAATAGTTGCAACTAATGCACGAGAGCCAACATGATAGTTAACTCTATGAAAGTATATTACCAGATTTCGGACGAATGCTTCGTCCTTTGGTGACAGCAATTGATGTTTAAATGTTTCTGGAGTATCAGAATTTGTTATACGACCTTCTACACGAATTAAGAAACACTCTCCGCTTTTATCAATAAATGGCTTTAATGTGGCTAAATTACCTTTAACATGACCCCCAGTCATTTCCAGTTATTTAATTTCATCACTAAATCTGTACTGTTGAATTAACCACACTACGTTATGAAGGGCATTGTTGAGCTCAGTAGCAGAAATGTATTCATTTTTCATTCGAGTTTTAAAGCGGGTAACATATGCTATTAGTCTTAAGTATGTTAAGTAATTAATGATATTGTTTATTTTGAGTAAAACGTATGGTACGGGTAAAGACTTGTCACTGCGCCAGAAAATCAACTGAAATTTCCGATCCTGATGATTTACCATTATCTGGCGGTACATTTTCGTTATGTCCGCCATAAGTCCATATTTATGGCAACGAAAACATAGCATATTTATGAGTAATTCATTTTGTATAGTGACACCCACTGCAAGGATGTCATTTAGTGATATCTGTGATACCGTTTTGAAAGAAGCATCGAATGCCACGCGTAACTTAGTTGTTTCACTAGTTGACTTTAGCACGCAATGATGCAGAATATAATAATGAGATATAGACAAGTTTGGACTAGGAATAAAAGACGTGTGTCCCAATTCCTGGTATTCTTTCATGAATTTCGAATATTCTTCTTTTAGCTGAACATTCCTCTTAAGTTTTCGTTCCAAAGCATAAAATCAACGTAACGCAATATCTTCAGAGTTACCTAGTAAATCTATATTATTTTTAAATGGTAGTTTTACCATGATTCTTCCATCACAGTTTACAGATACATTATCAATAAAATGCTGTTCACACATAGTTTGCTCCTCACTTCTGACGTTTATTAGAGACATCTTCTAATTGCCACATTTTTTCAATATTCTTGTTCAAAGTTTCAATTGAAGTAATGGTGCAATGATTGACTTTTTCAATCGGTTTGTTTGACGAAACATACCTTCCGGATACAATCCAACCAAATTCGGTATTTTGTACAATTGTTAAGTTTTTGCCCAAAGACATTCGGCCTTGAGTTGACAACAAAAAGAAAGCTTCGGTTCTAAGTAGCATATCAATACCTTTTGGGACATTAAATACTGGATCTGCAAATTCCATATGCGATGGAATATTCAGATCTTTCAACGAAAATGCTTTATCTGGATGATCGCTACTAATATTCTCTGAAATGAGAAATTATAGTGATGTTTCAAACGCGTTTATCCGTGATTGAATTGTAGTTTGCGTTTTATGTTGAATTTTCAGCACAGAGGGACCAACACCAACGATATCTACTTTAGATTTCGACCTTTTCAAATTTAGAGCCTATGCTAGAGAATCGGTAATGAAATTCACTTGCGAACATGAATCTAGAAGCGCTCGGCCAATTTGGTACGTTCCGATAGAATCTTTTACAAGAATTAGGGCTGTTGCTAAAATAATGCTGCTATTTTTCTGCTTAACACTTCTTTGTGAAGTAGCATGTGTAACTGGATTAATAAGTTTTTCATTTTTTGATGATGAAATGTTCGAAGATACAAATGTATTTAAGTCATGTTTGTGGAGCAACATATGATGTCGTTGTTTACAGAATTGACAAGAATATTTTGAACTGCATTGTGATACAGTGTGGAGGTTTGATAAGCAATTGAAACAAAGATGATGTTGTTATACTTGATCATGACGTTGTTCTAATGGAAACGCGATGAAATTGATGCAAGTAGAAATATTATGACCTGCTTTGGAACAATATGTACATAACTTTTCAGAAATAGGTTTGGTAGCAAATGAATATTGCTTAGGCTTATTAGGTTTTTGCAATGAATGCGACTGATAAGTTTGATTTGATTATGGTTTCACATTATGCCTGGTTTGCGCATCAAGTTGTTGACATCGCTTATCAAGCATAACCCAACATTGTTACCAAGATGGAAGATTAGAATAGTGTAAGTATTTATCCCATTTCTTTTAAGCTTCTTGGTCAACTTTGCTAATTGTAAGATGTAGGATAATTGCATCACAAATTTCTTTGAAACTTCCAAGTGATTGTAACGAGTTGTACAAAGCTGAGATGGTATCAGTGACATGTCTAAGTTGTTTGGAATCAGCCTTACAAATTTTATCCACTTCGAAAATAGATGAAATGTTTTCTAAGAAAATGATTGTGTCATTGTCATACCGCTCTTTCAGTCTGTCTAGTGCTTTGCCATAGTTTTCTTCAGAACGATTTGATTATGACAAGGCTTCGCCGGATAGATACGATAGCAAATGGTTGAACTTTTCAATAGGTGGAATGAATTGATCGCTGTGAACGAGATTAGTGAAAGAATTTATGAAAATTTTATATCCGAAATATTTGCCATCAAATCTCGGCAAACGTAATTCTGGCAAGCGATTGTACTGCATTTGTAGCACTGAAAAAATATGTTCATGTGAATGTGAGCTTCTTCTGTTGCCAAGACGATTCAGAATACGTCATTTTACTGTGACATACAGTTCGTCAATTTCCGAGCGACATGTATTCTGTGGCAACAAGCGTTCAATTTGACCTTGATAATACACTGCTTGTTTATAATACGATTCGACCATACCTAGTCTGCACTCAAGTTCAGTAGGAGACAAATTAGTTGACGCGTCAATAATGTTCTTAATTCGTGTAAGGCTCCCCTGTGATGACGTTGCTGTTTAAGCTTGTCGGCATTTGATGACAAAGATGGTTCAAACATTGCTACAGCAAGTATGTAACAGTTCTGTGACCCTTTGTGCACGTTTAAACAAAAGAAAAACACCAACAATGCACGAAAAACGTATGTAAGTGTTCAGTGCACCTTTGTCTACGTTTATGAAAAAACAAAATTTAATCGGGTCTCCTGGCAGGATCGCCAATGTAAAAAAGAGGGGATCGGTAATTCCTATTTATGGAAAAATTAGAATATAGTGCGTCGTTTGCACTTTTCCGCCTCTTTAATTTTACCCATGGCTCGAATGGATTCGTTCAAATGGAAAAAAATTTATTTTCTACACGCAATTTGTGTATTTGTTAAAGAATTTACCAAATTGCACAGAATTCAATAAAAAAAAGTGAAATAAAATCTATACGCGCTTTTGTTCAATGTGTACACAAGAACACTTTATTAAGATAAATGAGAAAAATGAGATTATAGCAGCAAAAATAAAAACATGTTCTTATTACATAGTGTTACATAAAATTTATTACAATTGTTTTTCTTTGAGAACAAAAAAATAAAATGGAATAAGATCTATGTTTTTTGCCGTGAATGCACGCGTTTCGAGTGCGGTCCGCTGGTTCGGTACATAATTCGTGTAATTGGACTGTATATATGATAGACAGTTCTTAAATGCGGTGGAGTATAATATACTCACTCGGAGCGATGAAAAACTGCAGCCGATAAGTGTTATTTTTTCATAATTTTTTTTTAAATTCTTTAATTTTTGAATTAATCGTATATCGTATATATATCGTTTCTTATTTTAATGAATTTTTGTGAGTTTTGGTGCTCTTTTTTCTGCAAAATAATTGCACACATATAAAATCAGCTGATAGAGACAGCAATTAAATTATTAACACAGAAATATTACAAAGTAAATAAGTGTTATAAAACGATCAAATAATTAGATCAATTGTTACACAAAAGCTTGTGCAATCGTGTAATATTATACTCTCACTTAGCAATTTAGCAAAATGTTTCAATTTAATTAGCAAATTGTAAATTTATTTAGCAAATTTTAAATTTACAAGCAAAATTTTAATGTTTAACATAAATTCTGAATTTGTACATTTAAAATTTACAGGTAATTAATTCTTTTTAATTTTCTAAACAATTCAAAAGGGTATTAATAAGGTATGAGTGGGCAAAGAACATCACCTATGCGGAAACAAAACGCATCTCAAAAAACATTGGAGAAGGAGATAGTAAATATTACTTTATCCCCCAAGCCAGATGATAGCGTTGAAGATAAGCTATCACAAATATCTGCGATGATGGAGTCTCAAAGACATACCAATAAGGATATGCGGGACCTGCTAGCACAGGTAGTTAAGATGTATAAGTCGGAGCAAGAAAGGGGGTCACTAGTACCGGTAGCAGCTAAGAGTGTGACTTCCATTAGCGTGTAAACTCAGAGAGCACTAAAGCGTTCTGCAAATGAGAAACCGAACGGTCCACCACCCAAAGTTCAGATTAGGGAAATTGAAAGCAAGGAACATGGAACGCCTTGCAATAAATGGCAACTAGTGGAAAATAAAAAGACGAAAACTGTGACAAAACTGGACCTCGTTAAAGCGCCAAGAGTGAAACCTGAAGCTATTCTTATTAGCAAGACAGCAGACAAGTCTTACGCTGAAATATTAAAGCTCATTATATCAAAACCAGAGCTTCAATAATTCGGAAAAAATGTGAACAGAATACGAAAAACAACGAAGGGGGATATATTGATTCAGCTTACCAAAGAAGCTGGAATTTTAGCTAAGGACTTATGCACTGAAATGAAGAACACACTTCAGGATTATGCTAGTGTAAAATCCTTAACACAACGCACCCTAATAGAATGCAGGGATCCGGACGAGGTAACGTCCAACGAAGAGGTGTGCGCAGCGATTGCTGACTAATTTCCAGCAATAAACGTAAGCGACATCAACGTCAAGTTTTGGCGTTACGCAAGGGACAATACACGAACAGCGATTATCGATCTCCCTTCTAAGGATGCCAGTGTACTGATCACAGCTGCCTTAATCAGAGTGGGCTGGGTGCGCAGTAGAATCAGAAAGCGTATCACACCCATGAGGTGCTTTAAATGTCTTCAATTTGGACATGTTGCTAGACATTGCAAAAGCGATAATGATAATCTAGCGATAATGATCTAGCACATTTATGAGATGCGGAGAAGATGGTCATAGGGCAAAATCGTGCTCGGATCAATCAAAATGCATCCTATGTCCGGAAAACTGTAAGGGTGGTAATCTACACTACTCAAGAAGTTCCAAATGCGAATCCTACTGGAAGGCTATGCAGGAGCTTAAGTCCAAAAAATGATTAAATTTCTGCAATTGAGCCTAAATCGATGTGAGGCTGCC